CTGCTGGGCCCCTTGCTCTACAGCATTTACACTTCCGACATTCCTCCCCTCGGAGACGGTTGCGTGTTTTTCCTGTTCGCAGATGATACCGCAATAGCCGTCAAACGAAGGATGCCTCGCGAAATAACGAACAAACTTCAACGATGCCTTAACGCCTTTGCTGATTATGCCACCACGTGGAAAATCAAAATCAATGCTTCCAAAACACAAACAATCATGTTCCTCCATCGACAATCACCCAAACTAAAACCGGCTCCCTCTTGTACTGTAATCATGGATGGCACAAGGGTTGAGTGGTCCGCCGAAGTAACCTATCTCGGGATGTTGTTTGACGAAAAGCTTCTATTCCGCTCGCATGTGGAGAAAACCGTAGTCAAGTGTTCCGCCTTGGTTAGGTGTCTGTATCCGCTGATTTGCCGCAGATCCCGCCTCTCAAGGGTGAACAAACTGGCCGTCTACAAACAAATCATAGCACCTGCGATCCTCTACGCAGCTCCGGTGTGGGAATCATGTGCACAGACTCACAGGAACAAAATTCAGGTAGCTCAGAATAGAGTGCTGAGGATGGTTCTTGATCGTCCTTTCGACACTAGAATAACAAATTTACATGAAGAGGCAGGCATTGCCAAAATAGATTCCAAAATTAACGAAATTAAGACTAAATTTGCACAAAAATGTAATTTATCAGAACATGATTTGATAAGCAATTTGTATATAGTAGGTTAGGTGTACATAGTAGTTGTAGGTTAGTTGTAGTTGTAAATAGTAGTTATAAGTAGTCTCCTTTTTCCAATTCAAATCAAACCAATCCCACCAAGGTGGTCATACTTTAAAATAGGCCTGATAGGACTAGGAACTGTAAATAATAATTAAAATCTCAAATGTACTAAAGTTGAAAAGACGCATCTGTGTCACTTAAAAAATTCATACATGTAAACCACACAATCACAAGAAATAAAGATCATTTAAATGGCAAAAAAAAAAGCCTCAACTCATTTTCGCTTCGGACGCCCTGGTGAGCAGACAGCAGAAGCAGCAAAAGCAATCGTTTGGCTCGCCGTGGCGGTGTCAAACGTGTCTCCGGTCTGATCTACGAGAAAACACGAGGTGTGCTGAAGGTGTTCTTGAAAAATCTGATCCGTGATGCTGTCACGTCAAGCGTAAGCGGCCATCGATGTCGTCTACGCTTTGAAGCGACAGACGAACTCTGAACAGTTTCGGAGGTTAAATCATCACCAACTTTGGCAACAAAACGGCCCTTTTCTGGGCCAACAAGCTTATTACAGTACAAAGTTAGAATAGAATTTATCTGCCTGTTGGTCCATATTCAGAACCACATGCCCCCAACGACTACACAAAATGCACTCCAGAGTTGTAATCTTGTAACCAAACTTCGAAGCAGGGGTGCAAGTGATTTTGATGGATTCTCTTCATCAACTATCTCTTTGAAAAAAAACTACAAATTTGGTACGCCTACAAATCAAAAACGAGTTCAGATAATAGATGATCGATCAATTAAAAGAACTAAATTTTCCTAGCGGTCCTACGTCAAGCTCCCGTTCGTGCCCTTGGCACAGACCCTTCTACTTTTTAGTTGATTTGTCGATTTACCATAATTTTGTCGTTTCTTGCTATTTGATCTTTCTTTTATTTATTTTTTAGCTGTTTTGGCGTTTCAAGTCGTTAACATGCCATGACTTGTTTTGGCATTTTAAAGCCATTTTGTAGTTTTTTTTTTAAGATTTGGCTATGGATCATCTGCATTTAATATTGGTGGGTCGCGAGCTTATAACATTCCTAAATTTAGGTCACATTCAAAAAAAGTTTGAGAACCGCTGTCTTAAAGTGTTCTCCATTCTCTTGAAATCGTCCCTAGATTTTTTCAAGAATCGATTTGCTTGGAATTAATCTCAGAATTTCTCCTACAATTCCCTTGAAATTGTCGTCGAAACTCTTCCCCAAATTCTATCAAGGACTTTTTAGTTTATAAAACGGACACTGTCAGCCACAACTTTATTATTTGGGTACTTAGCATAAACCTTTCTTAGATTCGAGAAAAAAAATACTGAGCTGAGCCACTAACCGTAATTTTAGGGGGATTTCTGTATTCTATTACTATTAGCACAGACAAACAGACATAATTCTAGCAAATTGTTTATCGGACAAGCATTTAACGGACAATTTAAAAGTATCGTAGTTGGTAGTACCGCCACTTGTGGCGCGCATAGTCATTTCCCTTGCGTTTGACGTTTACACACTACCACCATCTGTTCAGCGTAGTACCCACCACAGTGTACTCAACAGATGGCGGTAATGTTTTAGCGACGATGTTTTACAGTGAGAAATATTCAATGAGTTATGTCTGATTCTCTGTGCTATTAGCTTCATATTTCAGTTTACCCAAGCAAATCATCGAAATGAAAATTAGTTTGTTTGCTAAAATGAGCTATGTCCATTTTGTATGGCAAGTTTTGCTATATGAAATGCTCCTCGTGCGAAATTCATTCGAATTGCATAGGACATCAATTTGACAAGGCATTTATCACCAGCATACATCTTTCGGTCGTATGAAAAAGGTCCAAACCTGCCCAAAACCGTCCGTATACGCCTTTTTAATGCACCACCAACGTAGAGTGCGCCACGCGAGTTCGAGAAGAAACGTCAACCAAACCATGTGTTTACATCAGATTAACTATTTTTCACAACGCAAATTAAACCATATTTCATTCAACATCTTGCCAATCTATTGGTAATTATCTTATTGTACGACTTTCCACAGATCTGAACCTTAACTATCCACACACAAGAAATCCGGAAAATCATAACCACTAAGGCACTTTTCTAATTTTTTTTTGAGTGGGCTTCGTGGTCGTGCGGTTAGCGGCGTCGCCCGTCGTTCAGGCGTATTGTGAGTGCTACGAAGTGAGGGTTCGATTCCCGCTCCAGCCGGTGGAACTTTTCGCAACCCGGAAATTTCCCTACTGGTCTACTGGGTGGGTGTTGTGTGTTGTCCATTGTCTAGTGTTAAGTATTCAGTCTGTACAACCTCTGGTTGAAGACGGTGTCAATTGTCTGTCTGTCTAGGAGTAAAGAGCTACAGAGTCGCCATCAACGCCAATTCCTGTACACTAGCAGGATGTTTGCAAAAACGTTACAGAATTAAATTTTTCAACTGTAGATTAAGTTTTGGAGCATCTCAGATGAATCAATTTATCAGGAAAAGTAAAAAAGTGTTCCGCTTCCTATGCCTCAAGGCAAAAATGTCTGCTCACAACACTCTTTTTGGCGTTCTCCTATTTACCGTTTACGGTTTAGTTTAAAAGGCGTATTCTAAGAAGGATTCCAATCAAATTTTTAGAAGGGATTGCAAGGAAATTCCAAAAAGAATTCAACGGTAATTATTACGCGGGGTGTTTTCTGGATTATTTCAGAACAATTTCAAGATAATTCAAAGCAGAATTCCAAGTTAATTCTGGAATTCATATCGTGAGAATTTTGAACAACGAGAAATTAAAACCCTGCAAAAGAATAATTCAGTTTCGGTTTTTACAAATTTTTGTTTCCAAAGTCCAGCATTTTCAATATTTTTTTTAAGGACCAAGCACTTTACATCTGAAATTGAAACGACAAAAATCATGGTTACTTTTCAAATTCTCGGATATTTCCCGGTATTCCCGGTTTTCCCTGTTTGCTGGCCACCCTGTTGTAACCGACAGATTAAAAAACGCTGCTCATTTTGTTGGTTCATCAATCCATATTCTCTTCTCGAATATAAAACCTCGGATGAGAGAATGACGCACCCATTCAACACACATGAGCCTTTACAGTTAGTGACACATTTGCTCTAAATTTCAAAGTATCTATTCGGCCAATCCTAATAAATTCATACCCATCGGTCTACAAAAGCAATACCAGTTGGTTGATGTCAATACACTGTTAATTAACATTTGCAAAAGCTGTTAATGCCGACATCAGTTAGCACTTTTCACCAGGTGATGGGTACGCAAACAATTGCTTAACACCTCTTGATGCATGACACGTGATCTGGAATACCACATGGAACACATTTCGGGTCTAGCTGAGAATCTTCGATTGTTCCATTTTCGACTCCTGCTAGATGAGAATAGTATCAATCGGTGCGGACCAGCGACTTAATATTTCAATCCAGGTCAGCCAACTGAAACAGATGTTTTCAACGTCATCGCCACAATTAGCTCTACACCTTATGACAGAGATATCAAATGTTAATTTCTTACCAACTAGCTTTCCACGGAAAGCCACATCATTCAGCCCTGCGCAAAAAAAACAGAGTCAGACAACATCTGTATCTCCGGATTTACAGGCATGCAAACGAAAAATTTCTTACGTAAACACACTGTGTGTTTATGATTTTGACTAAAATCATCAACCATCGCCCAGAGTCCATTACGGTCTGCGTCGATCGAAGATTGACATGATTCACTCCAAAAGCTCATCCGGGAAAACGCACATCACGTTCGCCAGAAGCCCGATCGATTCCCTGCTCGTAAACAATGCGTAAAATTCTCAGTTTCATCAGTTCAAGTTCATATCACACTATGGGGTCTGATTTTCCTGCTGTGCTAAAATGTGTAAACATAACAAAAACCCAGTTTAAGTGGTTTCAAAACGGTTGAGGAATTCACTGACTCTTACCCGGCATACTCGGAACGAACCGAGTCAAGACGAGCGGAATCAACTAACAAACCAATTTAAATCAATTAACTTAATCACCTCTGCGCTGCCGTTCTCAGTAGAATAAAGACGACTATCGTGGAAGTAAATAAGTCGAGACTTTTGCCGGAGTTCATATTTCTCCCACATTTTACTTTCCACGAAAACGACGCAGTGTGGAATAGGAAGTGTGAAAATATTAATCTTGAGTAAGATGCTATAACCTTTGTATTCCGAACTTTGCAGTTTTTCAAACAATCATTCACAGCTTTTATCAAGTCTGTTTTTTGCTTTGTATATATTTTTAGATTCTCGATGTAAGCTTCAATCGCATACGTGACCTAAAGAGACAGTCTTTTTCCCGGTATACGGACGTCAAGTATCTGTATCTGTTCGAGAATATGATTCAGAACATCGAGGAAGGAACGTTCAGCGAACTGACCAATTTGGAGGTCGGTTATTCGGAACTCCAAAAGCTAATTGCATGACTAATGATCGATTTGTGTGCGAATTTCAGGCCTTGGATCTTTCGAACAACGCTCTACGCACGATACCACTGGAAATTTTTCGATTATCTCTGTTGAGGAACCTCTACGTAGCATACAACAAACTGGAAGACCTAGAGGAAGATCTACTACAGCTGCAGAAGCCAATCGAAGCGCCTCTGCAGATCTTAAGCCTTGCCGAATGCTGGTTGGAACGGTTGCCTAATTTTGGAATCCTACCGGACCTATGGCAACTGAACATTTCCTCAAACCCGATGAAGGATCTAACGATTGACCAATTTGCACCCATGTGCAATCTTCGATCGCTGGACCTGAATGCTACCCGCATACCGCAATGCGCTTGCCAAACCATCACTGCTGAGCTGTCGACGAGGCGGACAGTGATCTACAATAGCCACCCGAACTGCTTTGCAGGTAATCACCATCACTTACGTCCATCCAAGAACTTATTACGAATCCTCCACGCCTCTCTTTATCCTCAGAGCATACGGCCTGCAATCAGGACACATCTACCGTCCCACCAACAAGCCCCGGGCCCGACGAGTATCAACAGTGCATGGACGTTCGGTACGCCCGCCAACAGGACAGCGAGGCCAAAACGGCCTGGTTCAAGATATCCCTCGGGGTGATCGCGTGTATCGTTCTGTTTTCGATCATCCTCTGCTACATCCACCGGCGGAATGCCAGAAACATGAAGGACCACAGGAAGAAACACAACACGATAAAAAATCCAACTCCCATCAACCGGATAATGGTGCCATCCGAAGACGACACGCCCAAGGTCGTCGAAAATGGAAACCGTGATAAACTTATTAACGATTGTGATTAGCTACAATAGGGATTTTCCAACACGCATACACAAACACACACTGTCCTCACGCAGCAAGTGCCTTCGTTCAAAAGAAACGATACAAATTCGAACAAACAAGACTAAACGATTAGGATTAACGGTCGATGATCAAAAGTGTAAATAGATATTCTATTATAGTTCATAATTAGATAGTTAGGATTCATCATCACGGTCACCTCAAAGATAGTATGTAGGATTAGATTTATATCGATAGACTTTTCGCATCGAGAGCAATTGCTATTTACAAATTTATTTTGATCTTGCCACCTACTTTTTACGTTAGTTGAATTTACTGGAGATTGGAACACGACAGCTGTGCTAGAGCGCCAAAGAGTTGAATAAATCATTGCCATTGTTTTATTGTGTTAAGAACTAGTTTGAGTTATTTATTTATTATTATTATAGTCCATCTCACTTGGTAGTCTCAATGAAACACTTAAATCTAAATGTAGTCACTCATTAAAAATTGCATGTACTACTTCATGTAGCAAGGCTCTCGGACGGAGTGTTCGAGCAGGAGCATACAGATTACTTTAGCAACCTGCGGCCTGCGATACGTTTCGTTGCTCAGCAAGAGTATCCAAGCCCTGCAACAACGACACCGGTCAGCATACGGTGGTAAATTCAGCGGGTCACTCCAAGGAAGATAGCGCAGTGCGTATCTGACGAATTTGCATTGAATCGTGCACTCCATACTGCTTGGTAGGGATTCCAACACACGCGAATTCCAGTAGTGAGCGTACCAATGAACAGTAAACGGATTTAAAACACAGAGGATCACGGAACTCCTTAGAGATCTTGGACATGAATCCAAGCTGACGATTTGCTTTGTCGATCGTGTGAGAAGTGTCGAATGTACGTGAGCTTTTCATCCAACGTGACACCGAGGTCTTTAACGTGATCGACAAGTAGTGAGCCAATTTAAAATCGATAGTTTCGTATTGATTGTTGACTTTACTAGCCTATTGGTCTCAAGTACATCTATAATCGTACCCCATTCTAGTCGAAATTCTAGTACTACACTATGTTTGTTTTGATTCGATATGAAAGTTTGACAGATGAAATGAGGGGAGTTAATGAACAGCCCTTAATCGTGGTTTGTTTAAATATTTTTTTTTCGGAAAAAGTGATCGTCAAAGTCCATGTCTTTTTTTGGGTTCTTGTTAAGGGGGGTGGAGAGGTTGTTGTTAAGGGGGGGAGGGGGTTTTAATGCAATTTTCCAAGTCTCATTCCTCATTGTGGTGGTCACGGTCACGCCGTGATCCACCTTTAGCCGCTGTCTCGGTCCTACTTGCTGCAGGACCTAGTGCCACGCCGTTCGAAGCGGTAATGAGCAGAGGCTTGTTGTTTATTTATTTTTGAGGGATTTTAACCTTTAAGGTCATTCATCCCTATGAGCAGAGGCAGGAAAGCTGCGCTGTTTTATATCTTTTCAGGTTCAAGCAGAATGATGTGCAACCAAGTGGTATTCGTTTATGATGACTGGGTTTGGGGAAAACGTTTAATTCATGAAAACAGTGATAACATTATCATTTGTGCATTTTTCAAAAGTTTTTTGATTAAAAATTACAAAATTATTTATTTCAGCAGATTCGTTAAGTAATATCATATCGATTGGCGTATTTGGATTTTGATTTCATTTATAAATGACAAAGTTACAAGCGTTCAAAACCTAACACTATCTCACCACAAATATTTTTTGATTTGTACCCCAGTATAGTCGACAAAGACGTAGTTCTACGTCAAAAGTTGAGCACGTTTCTTCGGGACCTTCTGGTCTTAGAGTTACCTCTATGATACAATTACGTTCACACCAATCATTAAAGATTTTCAAAAGGTTTTGTAGTTCTAAATCTAAATCTCATCAAGACATCGGCGAAAAACAATTTCGAGAAATTGGAGGTCCACGTAGTAGAATAAACGTTACATCGTTCACAAATAAAGAGAAGAGCAGTGGTCCCAAAGTGCTACCCTGAGGAACTCCTGATCTGTTCGAGAAACAGTACGATGAGTAGTTTCCAATGCATACAGTAACTTCACGTTGCACGAGGTACGATCTAAGCCAGCTGCCGAAGGAAGCAGAATATCCCATTTTTACTAGTTTGAGTTATGGAAATCATTTTTCGAAAGAACATCCACTTCCATTAACGATGCCTTCCACAAATATCTCGCACATCAAGTGTTTTGTAACGGAAAGGAGATTTCATTGTGTCACTTCACTTCTTAGCCACTTAAGGAAACACATTCTTCTTTACCTGTTGTGGTATAAATCGTGTTCAAGCGTCACAGAATTGATTATACTCATTCAATCAACACTTCAAATTTCTTTATCACTGTCCTTATGATAAGGAAGTAGGGTAGAACTTCAAGAACGCATCTTCAATGTTTGAACTTCCCGAACCGGACTTTTGCTTTGCAGAACTAAATGATTTTGGAATGGCTTGTATAATTTTTGAGCTTAATTGGTTGAGTGTGAAAAAGCTAGAGTGATGAAACGAAAACATATTGAGTAGGGGACGATGGGATAAATTTCACCACGGCACCGTTACATTTACATATCTCGACAATTATTTTTTTAGGATACATTATCATGAAAAAACTTCTTCATTAAGTAACTTTAAATTGCTCCTGATGAATGTGGACGTATTAGTGGGTAGAGAAACTCGAGTTTTAGCAGACGACACTGAAAAAGTCTGCACATTGTACGCGTACCGTGGAGGTACCATATTTGAAGCAGGTCCCAACTTGACGCACAAGTATTTCACGAAATAGCTTCCACTAATCAACCACTAATGGTTTATTAGCACTCAACCTTTACATTCGCCACGAAAAACTGTGGGTAGGTAGCCTTTTTTGGCCAATATATGACCGTCTGCCTTAACAAAGAAGCTCACTATCAATAATTCACTATTGAAAATTACATCAATGTCCAGCTGCTACAATGGTGATCAAAATTATCACCGATTGCTTGAGAAAAGCGCTTTCCCTAACACAGATTTCAGCGGTGTTTATTCAATCACCGTATGTGGTGATGTCCGGTCGTCTGCATCAGCAGCAGCAGGGCTTTCGGCGCGTGACGTTGAACATTGTTCTCCAGTACACAACGAAAACCTGCCTGCAAGCAGCCCACATTGGCGTCCATAGAAAGAGGAAGAAGCCGACCCGCTACTGATCGGAATCAGTAGCTCTTCGTGTGTCGCTGTGGGCTATCTATGCCAAGCGCGTCACCCTCGTTCCAAACAACATACAGCTCACCAGTCTAATCTGTGTTGAACACCCTAATCGCTCAGCATTATACTGCCTATAATCGCATATCAGTCCCATATGGATTTTCGTCAATTTTGAGATAACAACGCTATCAACTATCAATTGGCATCTACTATCATATTATGTGATAAAACTCTTTGGACTTTGGACTTTGATAATGAAAAATGTGCAAACAACATCAAGTCAGTTTGTCTCACCAAGCAAAATAATCGCATATCAGTCCCATCCTGAAATTCAATCGTCCATAATTCAAGTTCAAGTTTTGCTTTTCGAATTGCCATATGTTTCGCTAATTTAACAAACCATGCAAGCTTCATTGCAACAGATTTTAACTTGAATAAATGATCAATAAATTTACTATACTTTTTCAAACATTTACATGGGAATTACACTTCGTAACTTCAACTGCCATTTTCTCAATGCCTACTTTTTTCCATATGGAACTGATATGCGATTATAGGCAGTATAGTACTCAACCATCACGACAAAATGGCACTTTTTAGGATCACCATAAGTTTGTGAAAGAGTATTTTCTGGACATTTGTCGTCAAGGTCATCAGTCGGATGTCAGTTCCCATATGTTTTAATCTAACATACCATGTGAGGCAACATTGGGGGTGCAATTTCAAACATCAAAGTCGGTCGCGGCATGAAAGTGGTCGGATTTTGATCCAGGGATGATGGATTTTAATTCTAAATACGCCAATCGATGGGAGATTTTCTACGAATCTATTCAAATTAAGACTTTATTAATTATCAATAGGTCACTAATGAAAATTACACAAATGTTCAACTGCTGCAATGGTGATCAAAATTATCACCGATTGCCTGCAAACAGCGCTTTCTTTAACACAGATTTCAAAATTGAATTCTATTCGGTATTACCGAACGAAGATGCTCAGTGTCCTCACTAATTTGGGATGGTTTACCGCTGCTCATTTCCGAACTTTAATTACTAGACTTTTTGTGGTGTTGTGTTGCCATAACGCAAAAGTCACATTGTTCATGACCGATCAACTAAGGATATATTTATATGCTTTAGAATACGACAATAGGAGACGGAGGTGACTTCCTGAAAGTGACTTTTGTTGTAACTTCCATGCACGGATTTTACGCTCAAATCCGCCGAAAGGTATAAAGGATTGTATTTCTGGATGTATGCATGGACGGAGTCACGCTTCTGAGTGCTACGAACGTGTTTTCCACGTTTAAATAGGTGCTCTTAAATTGTCTTGCTCCTTCTCATCATCCATGTCGTCGGTCACCATTCGATAAACTTTTTGTTCTGGGTAGAACATACCAAATTGAATAAGTTTTATGCAACCATTAAATGGTAAATTACCCGAAGTTAGCACCATATCCGATCGTATTCAAGAAAAACTTGCTACATACACGAGTGAATTCGTTGCTGCCCTTGGTCCGGATTTGGAATTCATTGGATCGTATTTTTTTTTAATCCTTTATTAGGGAGATTTTTAGCTTTTCGTTAGTTCATCTCCAATTCATTGGATCAGAACTGTAGCAAACTCGTGCGTACCACTCTTTCCCGAACATAGTTTCGTTGGCAGGCAGCGGCTAGCTCGGCGTCTAGTTCCCAAAACTGCCGATGCACTACCAATCGATCATCTTTTTCCACAAGCCTAGTGCACTCCTTCTGACAACCACAATCAACCAACTTGATACCGTGTGCATTTTGGCGTTTTTCAGCAATGTTTTTCGTCCTCACTGCGTACTTGATTTTCCAATTGATTCCGTACCATCCCATCACCAAAGAAACTACATCCGAATCAAAATGCAATTCGAAGGTTGACTGCTTCAAAATCATCCCTGCGGCATGCAAATCGTTCATGCACCCGAGGGGGGCGACTCTATCTAAGATGCAGGAAATTTTCAGCTTTGCTGTTGTGAGATTCACTCGCGCTTAATAGATAGAAACACGATTGTTTATGATTTTGAAGATTTCCTGCAAAAGGGTGGAGAGCGCTGCGAGTAGATGGGTTTAGATGCAAGAGATGAAAAAAGATTTTCCGTAAATTGATTCGCTAGTGAGATTTTTCGACCATTTAAAATCGAGATTTAGATGTGTCGCACCCCTCGCATGCACCCCT